TGCACATTGTTACTGTAAGGCGGTGGGAGTGTAATCAAAATCGACAGTGTTGCTTTGATTTTTTCATGCATGTTTTAGAAATCCTTGAATCTCCTGTTGAGGCAGCTAACCAGATCTGTGACCTCATGGTGGCTGATGGATGCTGCAGCAGCTGTAGGACTGAGGGATCTTGTCAAGGTGGAGGAGTTCTATTAAGACCTTTTTAGTCTGTGGGACTCTGGAAGCAGCAAATTGGTACTAGCAGTCTAAGTGGAATGTGTCTCGGGTGGTCTCTGGGGCAAAAACTTGGACGTGGAAGTAGTTGAGAGAGGCCATATAGAACAACTTTCATATGGTTTTGAGGAGATAGTGGGGATGGTGTGCTGCTGACCTTGACTTGGGAAATCCTGGAGTGGTGAAGAGGATATCACCCAGTGAGGAAGTGAAATCTGGGGACTTGAGTTAAGCAAAGGTGATTAAAAAGCTTCTTACTGGCAAGGCCCAGAGTATTTGAAATTTTCCTTAAGGCTTTGCATGTTGTGGGTTGTATTGATAGAAATACCTCTGCAACATTGGCTGGACATAGCAGGCAGTTCCCCCTATTTAAAAGGGGGGCTACAAGGTATGTTCCAATGAAAGGGGGTCACAATCTTAAAATTCAAGATAGTGGAGTCTCAGACTTAGGGGGAACAGTGCAATTTTCATGCTGGACCAGCTCCATGCCCTTAGCAGGATCCTTTGTCCAATCAGTTTACATGCATTGTCTGGACTGGAAGAAGGTGTTTGACCGTGTCCGTCAGAGGGAACTGTGGGGGTTAATTTGGGAGTAAGGGGAACCAGGACACTTGATACAGGCTGTTAAGTCTCTGAACAATTGTTTCAGAGCTTGGTCTGCATTGCTAGCACTAAGTCTTCTTTCTGGTTATAATTGAACTCCACGAAGGTTTCCCTTTGTCACTGATTCTGTTCACCTGGACAGGATTTCTAAGGATAGCTATGGTGTTGAAGGGATCTGGTGTCATGATTTGTGTATTATTAAAGGTGAGAATACAAGTACCCATGAGGAACACCAGGAGGGCGGCCTGGAGGCACGCTGGAGCCACGAGGACAACCACGAGTGCTGACAGACTGCACAGGTAAGTTTTTCGCTGGTTCGGTCTCAGGCATGCTAGTCACTGGTGCAGGTTCCTGAAGGGTAGGCCAGATGGAGGCTAGGCTTGGACGGAGTACTGGGGAGCTCGGACACACCACTGGGGAAAGCAGGAGGCCCACTTACTGTAGCTGGAGGCCCAATTACTGGGGCTGGAGCTGCTGGAACTGCTCTCAGTGGACTCTGAGACTTTAACAGGGCCTCAGAGTCCCTGAAGAAGATGGAGACGAGGAGGCTGTGGGTGTGGTGGATTGTTTCTTGTGAATGAACGAATCATAGAGCTCAAAAACTATTTCTAACATGAATGAGTTATTTTTAAACTGATCAAAATGTTAAAATTCCTCCTTTGAAACTAAGTTAAGAAACAAGGGACAGATGGGGGCAATCGTGGGGAAGACATGACAACACAGAAACCAATTAACACAGAGAAAACCAAAATCCTCACACCAGTTTGGTGGCTTCACTATTGGGTCTCTGCTTTTTGCAGATGATGTGGTTCTATTGACTTCATTTTTTTTTTCCTTTACTCATGTCTTAGCATTCCATGCATACAATATGAGGAAGCTTACTACCTCCATGTGCCAGTTTAGATATTGGTCTACAATATATCAGTTACATGACTCATTTTGTAAAGTCTTGCCCCAAATGGAGGAATTTGCATATCTCAGGGTCTTTTTCACAAGTGATGGAAAAACAGAGTGAAAATTGACAGGCAGATTGAAACAGCATCTGGAGTGATGCAAGCACTGTACTGGTTGATCTGTGGTGGAGACCAGAGAGCTGCCCCAAAAGGTGAAGCTGTTGATATGCTGGTCAATCTGCGGCACATTTCTGCCTTCAGGTCACAACCTCTGGCTAGTGGCCAAAAGAACAAGACAGTGGACACAAGCAGACAAAATTAGTTTCCTCCGCAGGGTGTCTGGGCTACCTTTCTATCTATCTCTCTCTGTCTGTCTGTTGAGTAGTTGTTTTTCAAATAAAATTTTTTTCATATTTTTATGTGTATAGGTACAACTAAACAATTACAGTATTGTGAAAAAGTTTTCTGTCACTAATTTCAGAAAGTGAAAGTCTTCACATTGATTTATTGTATACAGTGAAATATTTCAGGCCTTTATTTCTTCAAATTAAGCCTGAGCAATGATAGTGCTGCCATTTTAAGAGACATCTCTGGCAACTTTGAAAATCCCCTCCACATTGACCTTACTTTATCGTAGAGGCATGAATATTGGTACACTGGGTGCCAGAGAGTTCTATAGAACCCATGCTCTACATCAAGAAGAAAGTTGACCGTCTTGGATTGAAGTTCCGATTTTGACCCAATTTGGGTGTTTGTAGGCTCTGCATTTGATCGAAATCCTCCTTCAGAGTTTGATCAATCAGTTTCAACCTTGGCTGGTTTGCTCATAAGGCATCGCTGAATAAACATCATCAAAATGGTGAGTTTTTGATAAATCATTGTACCCTTACTGCTTGCAGCTTTAATTTTAAATATTACGACTTAAAGATAATAAAAATAAGTTTCAGTGTCTCTGGAAATTTTAATCGTACATAACATCAATAAAAAAGAACATTTTAAATATAAATGTCAGGCTTCTGAAAAGTATGTTCATTTGGCGCTATAAACTGGATGAAATTTAATTGAATTATATGAACTCAAATACCAGATCCAGATAGCAGAATAGAATAGAATAGAATGAATTTTATTATCATTTTACAAGTGTACAATGAAATTAAAAGCCCCTTTTCCGGTGCAGACATATACATTAAAAAGAAGTGCACGTAAAATGTATATATACAAAAATTTACCAAATTTAAAAATACAGAATAAATATATAAATAAATATAAAATATATATAAATATTGCACAGAGGTAGTGTTGTTGCACAGTGTAAATATTGCACAGTAAATATCACAAGTGGTTACAGTGTAGGTAGGTACCAGGGGAAGGTGGGGGGGAGGGGAATAAGTCAGTGCATGTGTGAATTTAGGATTGTTACAGCTTTTGGGAAGAAACTGTTTTTGAATCTGTTTGTCCTTGTCCTAACAAACTAGACACGAGTGACACGCTAAACAAACCCCCACTAATCCCCCAACATATACACCAGTTAAGGTTATAGCCCAAGTCTGTAACTTCAAATTACAGCTCATAATCGCCTCCCATAGACAGACAGTGTAGGCATATCATACATTTTTTGACTCTTTAGAGTCTGTTGAGTATTTTAGTCGTTAACTCTTGTGTCCCTGATGTCCCTGGATACCACTGGGATGAAAAAAACGTATCTAGTTTGATCAAAAGGTGTGGAAAAATGTGTATTATTTTTGGTTTGTTGTGACCTCTAATGACCCCTGTGTTGGTCAGAGAAACTCAAAACATGGCTTAAATGAAAGCCAAGAGTGTCCCCTTTAAAATGATACCAAATATTGCATTATAGACCTTTGACAAATGCCCATACCATGACCGTAAACCAGAGATACACCAGTCTCAAAAAACAGAATTTATCCAAAGGAGTCGTTAACTTCATGAGATGATAACTATGACTCAGCTACCATTTTGGAAGGGCTATCATACCAAAATATTAACTAGAGATATATGTATCTTTTCGAAAAATATTGATAGACTTTGCCACCCTGAAATGGACAAAAAATGGTCTGGCCCATGGACTATAAAGCACCTTTTGCTTCCACTTAGCTTTTTATGAATATGCTTGGCTATTCATGAAAAGCCAAGCATATTAGCTTTTTATGATTGTTCCTTGAGAGGCTGAACAACCAGCCTCTCAAGGAAC